AAGGAAGGCCATAAGGTGGTGGTTTTTGAACAAAACCATGATGTTGGAGGTCAATGGCTATATGAGCCCGAAGTAGAGGATGAGGAGCCCTTAGGAAGGGATAATTTCTTGAAGGTACATAGTAGTATATATGCATCATTGAGATTAGTTTCACCTAGGGAAATTATGGGTTTCACTGATTTTCCATTTGTAATGAAAAAAGGGAGGGATATGAGGAGATTCCCTGGCCATAAGGAGCTTCTTCTGTACTTAAAAGATTTTTGTGAATGTTTTGGATTGAGAGAATTGATAAGGTTTAACGTTATGGTTGAGAATGTGGAGATGTTGGATTATCCTATTTTGGGTAAGGATTTGAGGTGGGTTGTGAAAAGCAAAGAGAAAACTACAAAGAAGGTGGTGGAGGAGGTTTACGACGCGGTGGTTGTGGCCACCGGCCACTACTCTAAGCCGAGGTTGCCAAAAATTAAAGGTACGCAATATGCTTAAAAGTTACTTTTCTTAGAACTACATTTTCAAGAAAAGTATCTATAAAGTGACTTTTAAGTACAACAAATTATTTTTTAGAGATTATATGCAATTCTTTTTAATCAAAATATGTTTTGTCTTCTTAGGAATGAATGCATGGAGAAGAAAGCAAATCCATAGCCACATTTACAGGGTACCAGAACCATTTCGAAATGAGGTGAAACAATACATTTCACAACTTTATCCAAGTTCCGTCGAGCAATCCTATTTTTCACCTTGAATTGGTAAAAATATAAGAAATTTCTTACTTCTCGCGGAAAATTAGATCCAATAACTACGATATGGCGGATCAATGTTGCACAATACTCGAATCCGAAATACTACAATGTTCCCGTATTGCACGATCCACCTTATCAAACAATTAAGACATTTATTTCCATTTAATATTTCAAAAAAATCTTATTTTTACAGGTAGTAGTGGTTGTTGGAAGTTCTTTAAGTGGGCAAGACATATCAATGGAGCTTGTAGATGTGGCAAAGGAAATTCACCTAAGTGCCAAGTCTCTTAATATTTCAGAAGGCTTATCAAAAGTAATCTCCAAATATGATAAACTATACCTTCATCCTCAGGTTTGTCAATTTAAATAATTTTCATCCATTTAACGGGGGAAAAAAAAAGAAAAGAAAAGATCTGTCGATTTTTTTTTTTTTTTTTTGTTTTTGCCGATTTTCGAAATAATGGAAATCTTTAATGTGAAAATATAATGTATATTGCAGATTGATTCATTGCATGAAGATGGAATGGTTTTCTTCATAGATGGCTCATGGCTGATTGCAGACACTATTATATACTGCACAGGGTAAAATGCTATTCTCATAAAGTTTATTATTCAAGGGAAAAAGGAAACTAAAGAAAATATATTAATATTTATAAAGAAAATATAAAACTGATATGTTGTAAGGAAATTGCATAATTTGGGTAAATTTCTATTTTATACTAAATAATGTGGATTAGGGCCTTCTGATATAAGATTTGATCTTAAAAATGGCTTGATTAGAGTTGATAATGACACAAATTGACTTCGTTACAGAGGTTTCAAATGTACGGGGTAATCGCCACATCAAGAGCACGACTCATCACGTAACCCCTAGTGTGTCATCCCAAATCAGATAAATTAGCTCGGTATGTCGAAAAAAGAGAAAAAAATTTCATGTGACGGTCTTAAATATAAATGTGGTAGAACGGTCCATTTAAATCATGATACATCAGATCATGGCTGTCCGAAGTGCAACATCTCGACGTCCAAGGTGATAAGAGAAAGAGAGAGTGCCGATGTTTCAAATTTTGAATGACTCAACATTTGAAATATCGTGATTTGAATGAATGATCCTACAATGTATGCATATAAGACGTTTTACCAAAATTTCTCTTTTCAAAAAAAAGGCAATGTTAGGTTAAGGGTGGCCCGTCACATCACACCTCAAAATCTGATTGACACTTGTATTTTAGTAATATGTATAGAATTAATTATGAATTTTCCATAAATCAATCTACTGAGATTGTATTTTTAACGAAACCAGTAATTAACAAATACTAGTGGGTAAATGCAGGTACTCATATTCATTTCCATTTCTTGACACCAAAGGAATTGTAGCAGTTGATGATGATAGGGTGGGACCCCTCTATGAACACACATTTCCTCCTTTACTAGCCCCTTCTCTCTCCTTCATTGGCATCCCAAGAAAGGTAAAGTTTATATTTCTTACATTTTCTACAATATTCTAAATTACAAAGAAAATAACCTCGAAAAACTTGCACATGTAACACGAACCATAAATTTCGGTCTAATATGTACCCGATTAGTTCATGACTTGTACATCAGTCGAGTTTCCTTTAGGGTTCGAGTTGAGGGCGTTTTAGTAATTTTTGGTTTGTAAATTTGTGTAGCTTATAGGGTTTCCTTTCTTCGAATGCCAAGCAAAATGGATATCTCAACTATTGTCTGGGAAAACAACATTGCCATCATGGGATGAAATGATGCAGTCTATTGGGGAATTTTATCATTCAAGGGATGTTGCTGGCATTCCAAAGCACAATACTCATGATCTTGCAGATTTTGAGGTAAATTATTACGAGTCTATGAGGTTGTGTTCATTGTTTTTTGAGTACAAGTTTACCATTTCCAACAAGGAATGATGTCTTTTAGACAATGTTCTAAATATCGTAAAGCGTAGCGTCAAGACCAAGAATGAAGCATCACAAGTTTAAATGTGTCAATGCGAAGAATAAGTGTTATAATGTGTTTCGTATTTTTAATATTATTTTAATTATTTTTAAAACATTAAATATATTTTTATATAAAAAATAGATTTTTTTTAAGGGAAAAAAAGAGGGGCATAAGTCGCGCTTAAGCGAGCTATACCGGTCCACAAAAAAGGTTGACCGCTTTTTTCCGCAAATACCCCGAAGCGGAGCGTTTTCGCCGTGCTATGGGCTTTAGCGCGCTATAGCGGCGCTATTTCCCTGCTTTTAGATTGGAAGAATTAATGTATTAATATCGTGTACATACACAGGTTATATCTTTTTTTTGTTTTTTTTTTTGTTTATGCCTCGCAACACACTGTTCTTATGGAGATAAAATTGTTGAAGACCAAATTCAAATGAATAAATATGTTGTTTCTCAAGTAGTTTAAAATGTGTTGTCCAACATGGTATCACGAGCATTGATGTCACCAATTAAAGTCCTATTGTCACCTATTTATGAAAATTGTGCAGCTATTAGACCTTTGATGATAAAAATGAATATGTCTTGCATGTGGGCGTGTTCGAAGAAATTCAATCATATTGTTTTTGTAATTTGACACCATTTTTCTTGCAGTATTGTGATAAATACGCAGATTACATTGGTTTTCCACACTTGGAAGAATGGAGGAAAGAACTCTGTCTTTCAGCCCTAAAAATTTCTGATGTCAACTTGGAAACCTATCGGGATTCATACGAAGACGAAGATATGCTTAAAGAGGCATATAAAAGCCCGCACTTCACTCAGCTCAAGCTCGAGGCTTTCGTTCCTTGAAGGATCACATGCCGACTTCTATGCCACCGCGAGTAGTTTAATTCATCACTACTTTGTGAATCGTGATGGAGTTCAAAATTGTTTTTGCAATTCTTTCTATAAACTTTTTTTTGGAAAGTACTTAGCCTTTGCTTTATGAATCTTGCTCAGTAGGGGGAGCAAAGGAAAAATGAAATCATCTGTGAAAGGCTGAAATTTTTGAATTTTGATTACAAATTCCATATTTATTATATAAAAATTCATTGTTTTTATTATTAGTAATTGCAAAAGCACAAGAAGATACTCTAAACCCCTGTTTGTCATCCATTTCATCAAACATTATTTGATACAGTAAACAATCCACATCACATATTCACTCAATAAAATATACTACACACAAATCAATAAAATTACTTTACTTTTCAATCACACATTCTCCAAAAAATATTATTCAAAACTCCATTTCTTCTTCCAAAATGGGAGACAAAGAGACACTAAATTTTGAGTCAAAGAAGGTATATTTCCATCAGCTTGTGACTGAAATATTAGATGTAATTACAAGAATAATTATTAATGTAGGATACCGGCCAACAGATGTATTATTAATGCTGGTAATGCGACCTTAATCTGACAGTAAATTCCACCACGAGTAAACATGGACAAGAGATAGATAACAAACAAATAGCCAAAGAAAAATGAAAAGAACTTGAAAGGAAGAGTTCTCTACAAATGCATCCAATCAACTCGGTCGTTAACAGCAGAAACAGAAGTGGCCTCGACATATTTGGTACGTTAATATCCAACTTTATATGGATATTATTGAGAGCCCACACCCATGCCGGACATTGGACAACAGCCTATGCCGCCTATAGTCAAGATTGGCCCTACGAAGAAAGAACTAAATCACTTCAAGAGCCGTTTGGTGAGCTCAAAATTACTAATTCATAGATTTATAATTAACATAAACTTGCTTTCTTCACACAAGTCCTTGTTTCTCTCCCATTCTTTCGTAACTATTTTTTCTACATACTCATTTTTTAACTATATATTCACACAATAAAATATTCTACACGTGAACACAAAACTTCAGCATATTTTTTAACCACGTATTCTCCAAAAATTCACTATTCAAAACAATATTTTTTCAAAAAAATGGCCACCAAACAACGGCTAAATAATGCAAAATACAATATTAACCGACATACTTGATGCATAATCCATAGCCAACCACAGCTGTTAATTGTGCCATCTTCTCATCCCAAATTCCAGATTTTCTTTTTCAAGTGCAAACTGGGCAATTGATAACAAAAATATGTTCATCAACCAGATTTAGAATTAAGTAAATTGCATCTGTACAAGAATGTCCATGATCAAAATGCCTTCACAAACCAGACACTACGAAACATTCTACTAGAGTATGATAAGTTATCTATAATTAACAAAAGTTTAACTTCCTTCATTCCACATGAGACAACTAAACTAATGATGGTTTTTTCTAGCTCGGGCTCCTTGACGTTTCTTCATCTTCCCCCATCCCATCAAGTTCTCCAAAAAGCCCTGTTTACTGCAAGTAGCAGGCTGTTTCAAAATGGAACTCACTGATTTCTTCCCACGATTTGAAGGCCGTAAATTGGAATGTTTCTTTTGTTTTGCAGAAGTCTTCCTGACTGCATTTCTCCTCCGCGAACCTGTTTTGAGGAATTCTTCATTCATTTGAACGTCCTCTTCTACTTGAAAGTCCTTGCGCTGCCTAGTTCCCCGTACTCTTCCCCTGCTTGGTCGACCTGGCAATGTAACATCAACTGTTTCTTTCTCTTTCTGAACGTCTAGACAAAAATAATTACCATGGCCTTGGTGCAGCTTCAATGTCATTGACTTGTAATCATCAATGCCATCACTTGAAACCTCAGTTTGATCATTGTCGACAGATCCTTTCTGGTGTTTCTCAACCGCATGCAGCACTTCATTTCCCATGAAAGAAACAATCTCAGCAAACCAATATAGACGGTTGTTAGAGTTGTCTAGTGGTTCACTACTTCTGGACTTCAAACGCTGTTGAACTCTAGACGATGAAATCAAAATCAAAGTCTCTGCAGCAATCCTATCAAGTTCGATGAATGGTTCTCCATCCTGGTTGGGCAGAATGGGAGGTGTCTCCAGTTGGCTGTTCTCAGATATTTCTCTCTGTGAAGAACACTCCAAGTCAATTTCCACATCATTTCCACCATTTTGATTTGGCACTAATGGCGAAGGCTCATCCCCAGTTACACCACTGTTCAAATCGATGTCAGTGTTAAATGTCAAAAATTCATCATCATCTGATTTTGCTCTTCCATCGGAATTTTCAAGTTTAGTTTCCTCTTCCATATTCCTGGTGTTTTCCAGGGTAATTGTCGTCTCTGATAAACTGAGGGGCATAGAATTTAGATCAATAAGTCGTGCATAATTTATACCATCTGAGCCCTTATCGCAATTCACATCCTGATCATTGTGAACAATCTCCATGTGGCCGGTATCAGTTTGAAAAGGACAAGTGGAACTTGAACTCAGTGATTCAAGCTGTACAGGTTCATTCAAGTCAATCAAACAATTAATTTTAATGCAACTTAAATTAGAACTAGATGAAGATGCAGGCTTAACAGAGTCAAGTTTCTTGAGAACACTGGACAGAATGTCAGGTGCTACATTAATATTTCCCTCTTCAAACTGCTCCACTTCTTTATCGTCATTGTACACATCAGCTGGAAGTTCAAGATCCAAAATCTTCTTGTCACATCTTTTACTTTGGGATGACTGTTTTTCCAGTTCGGTAGATCTGTTTTTTGATAAGGGCGGGCCAGCTTCTCCTTTTACACTCTTTTCTGCAACAAAAGGAGGTTCTTGAAAGCTGTCCGCAGTTACTGAATACAACTTACTCCCTGAACAATTTCCAAACAGCCAGCTGGGAGTATGTGAAACCAAACGAGTAGTGTCAGATTGGACCTGATACAAATCCGGATATGATTCTGATGCATGCAGTTGTACATGTTGCGTGGAGATCTCTCTCCCCTGCATTTCGTCCATCAACTCCTTTTGTCTTTTGTATAGACGATGTAGTTCCTGGACCTGGGAGAGAATACTCATTCAAATTTCTGTTTCGATTTGTATTGTAAAAGAGATCTGAGTCACTAGATGACAAAATATAAAACAACAATTTGTTTAAAAAAAAAAAATGAAAACGTTTACACAATTCAGTAGCAGATGAGAAGTTTAATGTGTATTGCATTGAGAATCAAGTCAATAATATCACATATGTTGCGACTCTGCAAATAAAAATAAATGAAAAAAGCAGGAGGAAGAATTTCTGTACCATAATGTGATTGTATTCATTACTGTTAAAAAGTTTCCAATAGCACATACCTGAAGTCTAAACGTGGCTTCATGCTCAAGCATTTTCTGTCTCATTATCTCCTTATCATATCCTAAATATTGGTCCGCGCTACATGGTGGCAATGAAATATTGTAGCTTCTCCCATTTTTTTGGGAAATGTCGTCATTAAATACAGGCCAAGGAAAATCATTTGCACCAGCATTAAGATTCCTCGCGTAGTAATATACAGGGACGAAACTTGTACAATGCATTTTTGCTCGACCTCTTTTAAGTGACCTGAAACAAAGGGATGGAAGTTTGAGTATTTTATGCGTGATAATGCACTCAGACATTCGATTACTTCACACATTTGCTTAGCCAACTACTTCGAGAAGCATTTCGTTAACAGTCGGCATTTAGAAGACAATGAAATTGCACTGGCTGCGAAATTAAGCCCTTGTTTGTTACCCATTATTTCCAAAAAACATTTTTCACTTTCTTATTTTTAACCACGCAGTCATCAATAAAATAATATTACAAGTAAATCCAAAACTTTTCCTTATTTTTTAACTACGCATATTCTCCAACAAAATACTATTTCAAAATGCATTTTGGACAAAAAATGGCAGCTGCTAAATCTTTGTAAAATACAGTGCATCTTTCTTTCGTGCACTGTGAACATGACAGGGAGATCTACATCGAAAGAATTCTAAGCCATATAACTGGTCAACATTGATCCATTCATGTCAATGCAACAAAACTACCAATAAGAGACATTTTTATTGACCATAGACTTTGGATAACCTATTGTCTTGAGGAGGGATGATTTTTGTCATTCTCATTTCCTCCTCCTTTTTTGATTTTATTCAACTTCCAGTTTCCTCCACGAGTAACTTAGAGTGAATTTAAGGTTTGCTATAATCTCAGTAAAAAACAATAACGACAATGAAATTATGCAGATTAAAGACTTCAACTCTGAATTGAATAAAATAGACGAAAACACCACAGATAATAACTGAAAAACATATACAGGAGCAAACCAATCAAGCAATCTATAAGCAGATGAAGTTTAATACATCACATGGAGGAACAAAAAGAGGAAAACAGAGAAAATGATTAAAAACAAAAACACCAAACAGATCAAACACTAAACAAGCACATAGTCCGAACCGAAGCCTTTGGAGCAGAACATATTTAGTCCAGAGAAGTCAACTTCTGTTTTGGGGAAAAAAAATTAGCAAAGAAAATATAGAAATATTTTGCCAAGAAAAATAATGCATCCGAATTAGTAGGAAACAAGAATCCCAGGTGAATTTAATTGAACAAAAACCTCAAGAAATGGTAGATATATGAAAGTTTAGGGGAAATCATAAAAAAATAATCCTTCAAAACTTCAGATACAAGAAAATTCTACATAGTATTATCTTTGTGATTTAAAAATACCCATAACTGTATCCTACCCACACATCTGTGCTGGCCAAACCGAACCTTTTGCAGGATAAGCAAAAATAATTATAATAAAAATGAGAAAATAATTGCTATAATATTCCTTTTTCTTGGCATTAAGCAAGAACCCTCATTTGAAATCCGATTCGGATAGGAGGAGAAGAAGATGACGAGCACTATTCTGCAAAATTAAAAAATAAATATATTTTGTGTACAAATGTGAAATTTATTACCATCAAAATAAAGGTTTTCATCATAATGCACGGATCAAATCATTAAAAGCATCAGCTCAACAACCCATCTCAAGCTCTTGAACAAAAGGGAAAAAAATGAGGAGAAAAAAAGAAGATCTCAGGTAAACTTACAAACAGAGAGAAAGGACAAATGTTCAAGATGAGAAAATGGAGAACAACGAATCAAAACCCATGAACTATTTATCTCCAAAAGTGAAGAGATTTAGAGAATTTTACCTGAGGCAGAGCCAAAACCTCACTCAAAATCCTCTGCTTCAAGTACCCAGTACAGAATCTACTAATCCACCCAACTCATTACATTGATGTACAAGAACTGAGAGTTAAAAAACACAAACACCATAAAAAACCCACAAGAAAATTTCCGAGAGAGCACCAAAAAGCCACTCAACAAAGTGGCTCAGACATTGATAAAGCTGGCAATCTAACACAGAAGAATCATATATGGGATTTAAGTGCGTGTTTTGGAAAAGGAAAAGGCCATGAAAGGAGTCTTAAAGAAATGAAGGCATTTGGATCTGCTGGGGCCACACTTTACAATGAAATTTGGGAGAGAGAATAACTTACATAGGAAGAGACATGGGATTTTGTCAATGTATGGGGCCCCTGTATTTTGGGGTTCCTATCTGCAAATTAATATCTAGTTTTGGAATTCTTCGTTTATCAAAGAGCGAGAAGAATTGGGATGCTTGTATTCCTTTCTTTCCAATACCTTTCCTGCAAATTTCTTGGGAAAGGATTAGAAATCTAGAATACAGACAAGAAATGAAAATATTATCTTCTTCGAGTATTATCTTAATTTGAGCTTGAGTGAAGATAAAAATTTTAATTTGAGATAAATATATTTAGAGAGTATACTATGGAGGAAAATCTAGTGCGGAATTGAATTAATTTGCAAATTGGGACAATGCACAAGTAAAAAATGTGATCTTGAAGACTTGAGTTACTTAAAGAGTCGTCATGTCAAAATTAGTAGCCAATTGAGAGACAATGTAGAAAACATTTTGCACGGACTTTTATCGAAATATATTTATTTATTGAAAAGATGATAAAATAGACTCGAATTTGGTACACTAATGTAGTAGCTACATGGGCAAAGACAATGTCATTGAAAATATATTGGGGAACATGGATTGCATGCGACTTAGTTATTTTACATTTAGTGTCAAGCAGATCTAGCATAGAGACTTTAAGGGTGACAGTCACAAGTTATAGCTTCACAACATTTTAACTAGATTATTTTTTTAAAGGAAAAATTAAGCACACAAACAACTCTCATTCATGCACCGTTGTGTTAAAATAGTTATTTACTAAAAAGTTACTTTTTACATTCAAATTCTAGTTTTAATCACATTTCGTAGAATCAACGATTTTCTATACATCTATTCACCACTCATTATTTTTTAAAAAATAACTTTTTAGTTTGAGAAAACTGGGAAAAAAAAATCTATCTCTAAATGGGGATGGAGAGTGGGCCATGCATGTATTTTAAGTAGTATTAGAATTGAACGAAAAAGTTAAGATAGTACTCTATTGTTAGTATATTATTGTGGAAGAAGACATTTTATCATAGAATGCTTTTCGAGTTTTTGTAGTGGACGGGAAAATGTTTATGGTGCGTTTGGTTTGCTGCTTTCAAATAGTTTTCAATTTTCAATTTTTCAAAACACTGAAAACTTGTTTGGTTTGTTATTTCTAAAGATACATTTTCAAAAACAGGGATATATTTATAACATAAACTCAAAACGTATTTTTGATGTCTGAAAACACTCAGAATCCGAAAAAATAAGAGTTTAAATAAAAAATATATTTAAATACAATTTTTAAAAATAAAATTTAAAATTCTAATATATATAAATTTAAAAATTAAAATTCTAAAAAAAATAAAGATTATAAAAATTTCTAGAAAAATAAAAATAGTTCTAAGAATGGTTATTTACATAAAAGATTCTAAAAAATATTAAATGAACACACACAAAAAAAAAAAAAAAAAAAATTAGGTCCACACATTAGTTTTTATTTATTTTTCTATATTTTGAAATTAATTCAATTTTTTTAATTTAATTTTTTAGTGAGACAAATATAATAAGATTCACTAACTTTAAAATGTATATAATACTTGATAATATATTAACGTGAAAATATTCTTTTTTTATTGAATAATCAAATTTAATGAAATATAATAAAATAAAATATTTTTTCAAAATTTCAAAATAAACGCGTTTTTTAATTTTTTGTTTTGAGAAATAATTTTTCAAAATAACAAACAAAACACGTTTTTAAAAATCTCAAAACAAACTTTCAAAACTAAAAATAGAAAATGAACTCAAATCGAAACAAAAACCAATGAGCCCTTACTCTTTAAAAATATATAGGTAGCTCAATATTAGTATGTTTTGTGATAAACGTATTCATCGAGATAAGTATACACAAAATTATTTATTGTACTTAAAATTATTAAAAAATAGTGGCAATCGCTATAATGTTAAACTTTTAGGGATTTCTCGTTCATCTTCAAAGTCTCGTATTGAAAATAAGTATGATTTGGACTTCAAGAAAGAATCTTCACGACTGTACTTTGACAAATTAAAGTTAAAAAGAGATACACGGATTTTTTAATTTGCTGAAAATTGATTGCACATACATTTACTGAAAGTTATTAACACAAAATTAGTTTTTTATATTTTTCCCTAAAAGGCTGCCTTTTGACAAAAATACAATTCAGAATAGACTGCAAAATTTTTAATAAAATAAATAAATAAATTATAGAGTGGAGTAATGGGCTGGGTCGGGTTCTCTCATGGGCTCCCATCATCTTAGCCCGGCCTTTCCAGGCCGTTGTAACTCAAGATCTGGGCCCAACCCAGCTGATCTCGACAAAAATTAAGTCTTTAATTATTTTATATTATTAGAATTTATCTTCTTATTTGTTCGAATATATACTGTATTGGATAAATAATTAATAATATATTGTATACTATTAATACCAATTTTCTAAAATGTGTAATGCGTTGCGATGCGTCGAGGCCGAGTATCAAGAATCACAAGTTTAGGCGTGTCAATGCGAAAAATAAGCACCATAATGCGTTTAAAAAAAAGGGGGGGATTAGACGGGATAATGCGCGTCTAGGCGCGCATTGTGTACGCCTAGACGCGCCTTTTAGATGGAAACGCATTTTTCCCGCATTTCTCGAATTCAACGCGTTTACGACCCGCGTCGCGCTTAGGCGGCGCATTTGCACACCTTTTAGAACATGGATTAATACTATATTGATTATATTATTAATACTATATTGTGTAATATTAATATTACGTTGTATATATTAAATTGTTTGTCACTTTATTAGGAGATTTCTAATATAAATATTTTTAATCACTGAATTAAAAAGCAAAACTAGTAAAAAACTGAACGCATCACGAGAATATTCATGGATTCCCATCTGGCATACTAAATATATATCATCGGAAAGGTAATTGAATTTGGAGTTCAACCCACTTTATAGATCATTAATCAGAATAATATAGTAAAAGTTATACGCGTCTGAAATTGGACTGTCAAGTAGTCTACTGCACTT